TTGTTTGTTTGGTTTTTCTCCGGTACCGGGAACCGAACTCACGACCTTGCGCTTGCCAGGCAGGCGCTTTGCCGCTGAGCTAAATCCCCAGCCCCTCAAAGCTTTTTTTTAATTGTTGTGCTTTGGCAGAGCTCCAATTTGAAGGTAATATGATGCCCTTTTTACATAGGAATTATGATATGTACAAAGCTCAATGGCTTCCAATTAATCCTGAGGCAGAAACATTCAAAATAGTGGTGTAGGCTCTTTGTATATCTATGGAAAATCTAAAGCTTTGACAACTGTTTCTGCCTTAACTTTATAGTCTTCTTTTTATGTTAGAAATGGTATCTTCATTGCTGTGAATATGCATAAGTTCCTGTGTAGGTTTGTGCTCAACACTGATAGCAGGGATTTTAACAGTTCTAGAAGCTCTGGCAGCTCGGCCTCCGCTGTTCTCTGTCGTTTCTGGTCCTGTTTTAAGCTTGAGATATTTCCCAATATCTGCACATGTTATATATCTCTGCCATTGCTATCTCTAGGCCTGAAGGAGAAAGGGAAGAAATAGGTTCTGAGAACTCGAGGCAGAGCTGGAGCTGGGCAGGCATGGAAAGTGTCATCTGGAGGGATATGGCTAGGATCTGAGTCAGGGTGCTGATGCCGAGAAGGAATAGGGAAGACCTCCCCGAGCCTGTTTCTCTTGAGTGGTGATACCTTCCCCAGCTAAGCTCTACCAGAAAATAACCAGTTAGGGAACCTGGGGGTGCAGACCACAGCATTGGACTCCTGAGGCCAAGTATCAAGCAGAGGAATGGAGAATGGATTGGGAGTTGGGCAAATGGAGAATAACGAGCACACTTAGATCTATTTGTGGATGTTTATTGATGCTCTCAGTTAGATTTCTAGCAGAGACTATAATCTGAAAGGTTCAGCATGAAAAGACCCTTTAATGCAGGGAAAATGAGAAGACATAATTTCATGGGCTTTTGAAGTTGCTGCGATATTTTAGTCACCAACATATAAGTTGAAAAACAACTCTTAATGGTTTAAAGCGGATGCCTTTAGGATACAAGGACTGTCCTTTTCTTCTGGGAATAGATTTGGCTATCATTTAACAGAAAATAAAAGTTAACCTTCCTTTCTTTGCAATTTCTTTCTAGGTCTGGGATTTGATATTTGGTTAGCTCAAATTTAAGCATCTTTAACACTGTGATTCTTGTGACCTAACTGGGAAGGATTAGTGAGTGCATTTGGGAGATGGAGCCTTCCATACTGATACAAGCTGGCTGAATAGCAGATGTTTTTTGATGCTCTCAGGTAGATTTCTGGCAGAGGTTATCATCTGAAAGGCACAATAGGAAAAGGACCCTTATATTTGATGCCTTAGCATTGCAGACTCTTATAGGGAAAAGGAGAAGGCGTAAATTTAGGAATTACCATTCTGCGTGAAAAAAACAGGACTTTTCTTCCAATTAGTGTGTAGTAGGAACAAAACTCTCCCAAATCAAACCATCTTTGGCAATAGGAGTATTTACAACATTTTCTGAATGTGTAGTAAAAAGAGAACTGTGTAAATCATTATTTCTTCTGAGACACTCTAAATGCTAAACCACTATTTGGCCCTTTAAATAACTACAGTAGAACAAACTGATTTTGCTGTGGTGTTGTAACCAGATCTCGGATCCTTGTTTCAGGGCAAGGAAGATTCAGCAAACAGCAAGTGGTGGGAAATGGACAAATGTGTTTATTAGAACAAAAGAGAAGTTATCCACTAGTCAGAGAGGGCTGTCCCATGAGGCAGACAGTGTAGATGTTTAGGTCTGTTGGATTTTTATACAGTTTTGGGGACTGGTACACATGACAGAAAGCAGGGATATTCCTGGTTGTAGGAAGGCCTTTGATGTCTGGAAAGCAAGCTGTTTCAGTTGTATTTTACTTCCTCCAAGGTCTCCCATTTAGTTAAGGACCTGTTCTTTTGTCTCTTAGATTTTATTAGGCCCTGATAGTCTTTTCCGGTATGCTAATTTATTTAGGCCCTGACTTTTTTTTTTTTGGTACTGGGAGTCGAACTCAGGACCTTGTGTGTGCCAGGCAGGTGCTGTGTCACTGAGCTATATCCCCAGTCCCTAGGCCCTGACTTTTAGTTTACTTTAAGTTAACTATTCAGGATGTGTGCCCTGTCTACCTAAATTCCCATGTCTCCTGGCTTCATCATCAGTTGCAGCTTTCAGATGAAGAACAGGATTTTCCTCTGGATTGATAGTTTGTATTTTAAACCAAGCAGAAAATGGAGCATTGAGTCCTAAAGAAGGCCTCAGTCAGTTTGGAATAATGAAGTGTGAACCGAAGAAGAGACTGAACTGTGTTTTGGCAAGCAATTAACGCTTTCAGATCCCTGTGATCCAGTATAGGATTCCTGTTTAGTGTACAAGGAGATGTCTGAAGAACCCCCATTTAATTGCCACTTCTCCAAAACATGAACATTAATCATTATGTTTTCCAGTAAGCCTCACTGGGCAGTTGATTTTTCTTTTTAGTGTCATTTTCTTTTAATGAGTACATTGCTAGAATTCTCAGTCTTTCTCTATACAGGCAGACAAAAGAGGCATTGATTGGTGTCTGTATAGATGTGCTGTGAGCACGTTATCTCTGAGGCAGGCTGGGAGTTTTACAAACAAAAACAAAGTTCAAGGAACACAAGTAACCTGCAAGTCTAAGTGTTGTCTTCTGATATTCAAGCACATAAAAGAGTTGTTTTATAGAGTCTGTCTGTAGTTCAGCTCTCTTCTCTGTGGCAGGTATTCTCTAACGAATACTCATAGAAGTACTAACATAGCAAAAGCATGTTTTACCAGATTATCAGTCACAAACTATTGGCAGCAAGTTGGCTGAGCACGTGAGGGTGCCCTAATAACTTCACTAGGACCAGTGCTTTCTGATGGAGTGACCTAGTCTGATGAACCTGCTTATTGATAGGTTACCTGTACTGGTTGGCACACATTTGAGTGAGTTCATATTTTAAGTCATTGGGGTGTTTTAAGCATGTGTTCTTTTTTCTTTTCCCTTTTTTTTAACATGATACTTTATGTCTGCTGTTGAGGGAAACTGATATGCTTCTGTTGTTTTCAACATAGAAACCAAGCCAGCAAGGGTGCTGCTTTACAGTCTCACCACCGATCTAACAGCAAGGACATTCAGAACCTAAGTGTGGGTCTGCCCCGGGCTGAAGAAGGCCTTCCTGCCAACGAAAGCTTCCTGAATGGGAACCTTGCTGGAGCTACTCTTAGTCCAATGCACACCAAAACCTACCAAGCAAGCACCCAGCCTGGGTCTGCCAGCAAAGATCTGACCAACAACAATATGCCACACCTTCTTAGTCCAAAAGAAGCCAAATCCAAAACAGAGTTTGACTTTAATATTGACCCAAAGCCCTCAGAAGGCCCAGGCACGAAGTACCTGAAGTCCAGCACCCGATCTCAGCAGAACCGGCATTCATTCATGGAGAGCTCTCAGAGCAAAGCGGGGACCCTGCAGCCCAGTGAGAAGCAGAGTCGGCACAGCTATATTGACACCATTCCCCAGTCCTCCAGGAGCCCCTCCTACCGGACCAAGGCCAAAAGCCACGGAGCATTGAGTGACTCCAAGTCCGTGAGCAACCTTTCTGAAGCCAGGGCCCAAATTACAGAGACCAATACCAGTAGGTATTTTCCATCCAGCTGTTTGGACTTGAACTCTCCCACTAGCCCAACACCCACCAGGCACAGTGACTCAAGAACTTTACTTAGCCCTTCAGGGAGAAATAACCGAAATGAGGGCACGCTGGACTCACGCCGAACCACAACCAGGCATTCAAAAACCATGGAGGAGTTGAAGCTGCCTGAGCATATGGACAACAGCCACTCCCACTCGCTGTCTGCACCTCACGAATCTTTTTCTTATGGGCTGGGCTATACCAGCCCCTTCTCCTCTCAGCAGCGTCCTCACAGGCATTCCATGTATGTGACCCGGGACAAAGTGAGAGCCAAAGGCTTGGATGGAAGCCTGAGTATAGGGCAAGGGATGGCGGCCAGAGCCAACAGCCTGCAGCTCCTATCGCCCCAGGTACAGCTTAGCACCTTGACCCTATCTGGTGGCTCATCATGGGAAGGTAGCGCAGGGAGTGTGTTTATAGTCAGTCTGCAGTTTTCCCAACTACAGGAGGCCACACTTTCAATCAGTCATTGAGTACTCAAAACAACTCTAAAGTTTGTTTTTTGTAATCTGTTTCTTACATGTTCCTTTCTGGATATTTTGTTGAGCGAATCCCATTTTGATTTATTACAGAATTTATAAGCTACATGGGTTAGCTTTTAGATTTTTCAAAATTCAGTGTAAATTCACGGGTCTTTTCTCTAAGGTCTCCAAACCACATTTGCTTAAATCTAACCTTTTTTTTCTAATACTTTCCTCAGTATCTTAACTGAATTTAAAAGTGTTTAATATATCCAGAACTACAGATAAATTTAACTTCAGGCAGGTGAAGTGTGAATTTTCTGTCTTTTGGTTGTTTTTAAATCTTAAGGCAGTGTTTTTAGCATAATGCTTCCTCCATCTTATTGATCGTTCAGCTCTAGAGCTGAGACTAACGTGCTTAAAGGAAGTAACATCCTTACCATAGAACACATTCTTAAATCACATTTTCATGATTTCATGTCTAAAGCACACTGTATCCAATGCTTGGCACAAAGCAAGTGTCTAGGAAATTCTCCCACACCGGCGATGGTCGGGGCTATGATTTAAGACAGTGAATACCTTTTCTCTGCTGGGTGGTGTCAGGCACTCCAGAGAGTCCTGAGATAGGGTTCTTGCCCTTGAGAAACTCAGCTTCTCTCAGGGAAGATTAAATTATACATGATAACAGTGAAATAATTAAGGCCTATATTCCTGTGGCACTGACTATAAATAGGAGTGGAGAACGGGAAAAGATTGTGAGCAGCAGCCATCAGAAGTGGCTTCAGGGGCGGCCGAAGATCTTGCTGGGGGGTGGAGAGTGGGAAAAGCACTGCATGGCTGAGGAGTGAAGATGTGCTCAGGTGTGTCCTGAGCGAGGCACCGTGAGAGGCCTAGTTAGAAAGATGGGAACAGCACGGTCCTGGTCCTCTTGGAGGCTGCGGGCTGGCAGGGGACACTTGCCAACAGATGGTCGTTCTGATGCTGTGAGACCACATTCCAGCTGCTGTGCCAGAAGGAGTGGAAGCGGTGTGACAGTCGAGGCCGGGCGCTGTAGCCAGCTCCTAGAGGGGGTGGCATCTGGGCAGAGACTTCCAGGAGGGATGAGGTTTCACTTGGGGAGGAAAGCAACAACAGCAGGAAAGGGACTAGAAAGGAGGGAAGAAAAGAACATCCCAAGCAGCAGGGGGGTATAGAGGTATGACAGCATGATATGCTTCAGGGATCATAACTACTTCCATGTTGCTGGAGTGGAAAATACAAGAATTAGAGTGGCTTTTGTAGTAATCCTCACATGAGGTGAGAAGAGAGGGCTTGGAATTAAGTGAATGAACTGGGAAAGCAGTGGATCTTAAAGACTGCTCAGAAATAACAGTAGGACTTGCAAATTGTAGTGTTGAATATAGGGAAAAGGAAGATTTCAGTGTTTCTTTAGGAGCCCCTCTTCAGCACGGAGGAAGGGATTTTTGAAGCCCTATAATTGAATCCCTTTATCTCACTGATAACCATGCCAGGTCTCAGAGAAAGTGGGTGAATTGCCCAAGTTTACTCAACTAGTTCAAGGTGGAGCCAGCGTTCTGAGGCAGTCCCTAGGTCCTTTGTATGCTGTAAGAAGCTGGAAAGGGGGCCAGTGCCCAGGCAAGAGGAGGACAAGAGGTGCCCAGAGTGCATAGTGGAGTCATGGGAATGGCCAGAAGAGTCCTTGCGGTGTCACTATACAGAGAAGAGAACCTCAAGAGCCTAGAAAGATCTCTAGGACCTCGCAGCTGCTCATAAACGGGGTGTGGAGGTCAAAACCAGGTAAAGTGGTCATATTAAGCTTAGTGTCAGAGAAGAAAAACAAAATGTGGTTTCACTTTTAAAAAGGACAAATGACTGGTCCTCTGAGAATTCAGAAAAGAGATTTTTGTGAATATGGTGGTCAGAAACTAATTATAAGCAATGACTATGGGCTAAGCATGGATCCAAGTGTTACTGAAGTCCAGTTCAGAAGGTGTAGTGTCAAGCTGCAGGAAAGTATACAAACACACAAAGATGGCAGAAAGCTTGAAGAGTAACAAAAGCTGTGAGTGGATCATGCGAATGACACTCATGCAAAGTATTGTGGCCACCTTCAAAAGAATAGGGACTCTCACTGAGTGTAGGTTAAGCAAAAATAGTTTATAAAATATGTTTCTGGAGGCCCTTGTCAACAGTACAGGTGGCAAAAGTCAAATGAGATCTTTGAGTCACAAAGTAGCAAGAAAGGCTTCGTTGGATGAATCCCTGCCTGGAAGTCTCCAAATACACTGAGCATTGAGGGGAAGAAGGGATCATATATTAAATGAAATGTTCTAAGTTACATAGGCTTGAGATAATCTTTGTGTGTGTAATGTACAGATACACGATGCACTAATTCCTCCTGATGACTTGGTCATTGTGTTCCTTGGTCTTTTTTTGCCAAGGGTAGAAAGTGCTACATTTTTCCCCTTTTGAGCACTGTTGTGGGCCATTCACTGTGCTGAGGCTGTAACCCAGTTCTTTAGGGGAGAAGTAGTTAGTGGCAGCATCTCCGGAGATGAGCGCCTTGGTGACTGTGGCTAAGAGGTGCAGACCTACGTGCTGTTATCCTGGAAACAAGAATTTTAAGCATATAGACTATAAGAGGTAGGGAATTTTAAGACAAGAATTATCAAGAGGACTTACTGTATTCCTTGATGCATTCAAGGAACATTTGTTTTCATCTGAATCTGCCACATAAGCCCCTCCTGAAAGCCAGTCATGGTTCTGCTTGCTTTTTAGAAAATTCAGCCTAAAAGCTGGGGCTGGGGATTTAGCTCAGTGGCACAGCACCTGCCTGGCAAGTGCAAGGTCGTGGGTTCAATTCCCGGTACCAGAAGAAAAACAAAAACAAAAAAAACCCCACAACTTTGGGGCTGGGGATTTAGCTCAGCGGCAAAAGCGCCTGCCTGGCAAGCGCAAGGTCGTGAGTTCGGTTCCCAGTACCAGAGAAAAACCAAAAAAAA